AACCTGGACAGGCTGGAAAAGCAGCTCATCCCTCTGCTCAATCAATGGCAAAGTAAAGCTCAAACTGCCAAATGCTAATGAGCGTGCGAGGAGGCTGTCAGCAGAATGACAAAGTAATAGCAGCAGGCCCCTAAGCAACCGCAGGCACGGGAACAAGCCAATGCGAATATTGCTTTGGTATCAACTGCCACTCACTGGTGTCATTTTTCCCTGTTGTTCACTTGTCCTCACTCAAGTCCTTGTAAATGGATTTGTCACTCGCTGTCTCCATGCAGGAGAGGCTGAGCGGAGTCATTGCTTTAGAAAGGAAGCGCTGCTCGTGGTTCGGCTCACACTGGAGGCGGTAGCAAAAGAAGCACTTTGTTTTCTCATCCATGCAGTGCAGGCAGCATTTTTACTTGCAGTCAGTCATCTGTATGGTTCTGTTCCTGCTTTTTCCTTGCATGTTTCTATGGATTTTGGTTTTATTTACGCACTGCATTTGGAGGACAAACCAGCAGCTGAAGTGGGCACACTCCATACCAGCATGTAGTTCTGGGGTCATTTGGGATAGTTTTTCTAAGCCAAGTCAAGTCAAATACCTGCAACTTTGAAATCCAGAATTTCAGCTAAGAGCTCTCAGTGTAGCAGCTTGGGGGCTTGGATTTCTAAATGGGGTTGTCTTGCTTATTAAATATTAAACTGGGTCTACTTGCTGCTTCATTCAAGCATTTAAGTAAGTACTCTGAGGCACTAGAGAAGGACTGGGACTGTTTTTTCAATAGTGCAAAGGGACCGTACTAAATATAAGATCTCAGAAATACTGTTCAGGTAGATAGGGATAATCCTTTTGTGATTCGCTGGGTTTGCTTTTTTTCCCTTTAAAATGAGCTCTGAGAGCAGGGACTGGCTGAAGCATACATTTTTATTAATATACTGAAACAATATTAGAGCCATTAGTTGCATTTGGCTTAACAAACCCGCTGCTGGCTCCATGTGTTACAGCCTCAGCTGTATATGGCATGGACCGGGAGCGCACACACGCGTTGGGTCCCAGAGAGAAGGGCTGTTAGAGGGCTCGGGACAGGGGCTGCAGTAGTGCTGCCAGCCTCCTTTTCCCCCAGTTTCCAGATATCCCAGATCCTTCCTTTTCCCCCAGTTTCCAGATATCCCAGATCCCTCCTTTTCGTGGAGATGATAGAAAAATGCCTTGGCATGAAATGCCGCAGCCAGCCGAGCTGCTGGAAGCGAGTCCCTCCTCAGAGGGCCCTGCGAGGCGCGTGGCACGTGCCAGCACCACCCGGGAATACGCTGCTCCAGCAGGCACAGAGCTGCCGACTAGCTCGGGTAATATTGTTCCCCTCTCCTAAGCCCTGGCTTAACTGATGTGTCAGCCCCTTTTCTGGGAACACTTCCAGCGCTTCTGTGCTCAGGCTGTACCTGCAGGACACGCTGTATTTGATACTCCAAGGCTAGAACTGGAAGAGAAGCCTGCCCAGCAGCGTAGCGGTGTTGGTACCAGGCCGATGGCCCTGCCTGATGTGTGAGGGCTTCGAAGTCTCTCGCTGGAGTTGGCTGCTGCCCAGCGGTTCTGCCCTTGATGAGCCGCAGTGCGAGGACCACACACAGGCCACCCAAGAGCAGCGCTCATCGCTCGCCGGAGTCAGCTGAAGGACCTGGGGCAGGCGGTAATACCAGAACCCTGTTTTTTTTAGGCTAAGGACATGCTCTCAGTAGCCGCTGTTTCCACTGTGCGCTTAAGGAATACTGGCTTTTAGATCTTCTTCCTGAAGGCCACCTGCTAGTGAGAAATGGTCGAGTATGGATCCTCCTTGCACCAGTATTGAATCATGGCTGCAAATAGTGAAATTTCCAATTGGAAAGATTACCACTGAACATGCAGAATCAGAAAAAAAGAA